ACCCAGTCAAGTTGAAGCCAGAATTTTTTTCCCCTAAAGTAAGGGCAGATTTAAGATGAGAACGGTGCTCTGTGTGTGTCTGAAGCAAAACCCTACATTGGACAGAGTAACTGATACACAGAAGAAATAGTATTCCTGAACTTAAATTGAAAGGAAAAGAAGACTTATTTCTTGAAACATGAGGAGAAAAGACAGCGATCAACCAAATCATTAGAGTGGAAGTCCAAAGGTATATTTTTGATGGAGGGTTTCCGTAGCATTCAGAGTTCATGTTCTTGAAATGAGCAGTGAAGGGCAACATCTGTGAGAATCAGTTGCCACCCTGCCCTGACCTGTGCATTCTCTATCATCCTTGTATATTTGCTTCTTACTGATGTGTACGTGTACTTTATGTAGGTAACATCACTGTTCACATACACGGTTGCGCACTTTGCATTTATCTGGAAGATTATAGCGTGTATCCAGAAGGGGGCCGATTAGGGCCTAATCATCCCTGATGCATTGACTGCACACGCTTAAAACAGAACATCTTCTGTTTTTGTGTGATGTAAATGGAAACCATGGTAACACTTGAGGAAGTGACAGTATTGTTAACGTTGAGATCACAGCTGAGAAAATAGCTGCAGCTCTTCCTCTCAAAGCCTTCCGCCATTACTGCGTAGTAGTAAAACTGCTGCTGCCCCCTCTGCTCATGTGCTGAATTACCAAGCCTCCCAAGAAACACGTGATAAAACATGATGTGAATGCGTAAGCAATTCATAGTTAAAAAGAATTATATCAGTGTCTTTAGCATAATTGCAAATGAGTGTCTTTGGTTCAGTCTGTATCTAGATGATTTAAGCCCATCTGCACTGGAACAGTGTAATCAATAGAAACCCATCCTCGCCCCAGACTTCTCTGATTACCCCTTGGTGTTTTGTCGTAAATAGCTTGTGGAGAAGAAGAAAACAAAAGCTTGTTTTGCATGAATCCTAGTACATGCTCTGCACTGTCTGTGATTTGTTCTCATTACCCCCACGCCTGTTTGGCTTTGCCATTTCTCTCTCTTTCTTCAGTTTGAGGGCTCTTCACCCCCACCCACGACTTCTGTCTCGCCCATCTAATAATTTCTCCGTCTCCAGGATAAATGCTGTGTACTGCAGGAGGCTTATGTTTTCCTCCTACCCATCACAATGTACAGTCATGGTCAAAAATATGGATTTACGTCAGATAGCACATCACTTCTCACGGAAAAGTGTTGCAATCACAAATTCTTTGCTATTGTCATGTTTATTTCTTTTGTTTGGATTGGAACAGCACAAAAAAGAAAAAAGCCAAATCTGATCCATTCCACACAAAACTCCAAACATGGACTGGACAGAATTATTGACACCTTTTCAAAATCATTAGAAAATAGCTGTATTTCAAGCATGTGGTGCTCCTGGAGCAGCCAACAGGTGCTGGCAATATAGAACTCGCACTTGTAAACGGTGGAGAAAAGTTGACTCAGCCTTTGTGTGGTGTGGACCACACTGAGCACAGAGAAAAGAAAGAAGAGCAAAGAATTATCTGACGATTTGAGAACCACAATAGTGGGAAAGCCTGGACAGTCCCAAGGCTCCAAGTCTCTCAACTGTAAATTGTCAGATGAAGGCAAAAGACAGAATGAAAATTTGTATGTAATTTATTAAATAATTGAAGGCTTTCCCAGTTACCTTGGTCATGGCTAAGGTAACTGGAAGATAAGGTAAAGCTGCTGAAAATACTCTGGTCATTCGACTGTGCTGCTTGATATTTTTATTACTATGAACACAGCCACTGGAGTTTCCTTTGGCTCAGTCTCACACACACTGTTATGCTGCCCTACATAAGTATTGTACTAGAGAATCAAACCTATTCATCACCAGCTGAAAACAGTCCCCAACAAATGAACTGTTATAACTAAATGACTTTACTGATACTTACTGTTTGAGTAACATTATCTAAAACTACAGGAAAGAAGACAAACACAGCATCTTAATAATAAAATACAACTACATATTTGTGAGGTATTTATAAAGATTTTATGTGATTTTGTACAAAATAAACTTTGTGGAAAAGTACTGAGAGACAATAAGGAAAATATAACAACAACATCAGACTTAATTTTCCTCTGAAAGTCGGAGAAATAACTAATACTAGGTTTTCCCCTCAGATGTATCATACGGATGCCTTTGGAGCAGTGTTTAGACAACTATAAGGTGCATTAATGAGATTCTTGGCTGCCTCTTGCAGGTTTTGCTGGTTGCCGAGTAAAATCTCCACGTCACACAGAGGATTTCTCTGATCATGTAGTCAATAAGAAAAACATTTGATTGCTTATATGGAACCTGATAAAACAGTGTAAAAGCTTCAGGACTGGGTCAGTAAAATAACCTGAAAAGTAAAATAAATGTCCCCCACTGGATATGGATAAACACACTGTCTGGTTTCACAGAACAGAAAGCCTCACTAAGTCACTTTTTTCTTTTCCAGGTAGAAGAATGTGTTGACATTAGGACAGGAGGACAAGCCAAACGCAGATAACCAGGCATGATATCTCACCACAGTGTTGGGTCTTGTTTGGCAAATTGCCTCTCGAACCTTTCAAAGAGGAGGGTGTCTGGTTCTTGCATATTAATTTATTTCTCCCTCTTTGTCCTCCTCCTGAGAAACTTGTCAGCTGTGATAATAAGTCACTAAAGCTACTTGGGGCCCCGTGGTTCCCCTCTCTAGGTGTTACTGCAACATTGCATGGCAGCACATTGCTTGGGGACTGTGCTGAATGGTGTTGCGCTTTCGCCTCGGATAAGCAATTAGCATTCAAGTTATTATTATGTGAAAATTCAAACAATCCTGGTCCCGTGTTGCCACGTTCCTCGTTGCTGTGATGAACACAAACAATTCAGTCCCACGATCGTTACGGCATTAGTCTGTGTGACAGCAGCAGATTCATTATAATTTCATTCATTTTTAAGTAAACATCAAAACAGCAAACAGCCTCAGTTAACCACACACGCACACACACACACACAGTTCATGCAGTAGAAGTGCACGCACACGCACATCGGTGAGAGTTCAGCAGAATGTGCGTGGCTTTTCTAATTACATGGGTTTGCCCTCCTGCTGCCAGAGAAACTCATTTGGGCACTGAGAGCAACGTGTGCGCTAAAAGCAAAGGAGGCTGGGAAGACTGAGTCTTAATGAGGGAAATCAGTGGAACGTGTCTGATGGTGACATTTCTTCCTGGAGCTGGAGGGCTCTTGATGAAAGGCAGGCCTTCACCGCAGGCTGCGCTCCACCACTCAGCCCTCTCATCCTCAGATAACCGGGCACAGTGCAGCACAACGAGAAGCCCTCACACAGGAAGCAATTAAAACACTGATCTGCTTACACACCCGGAAACACTCCCTTGGCTCCAGGCAGAGGGGAAGTGGACCGGGGCAGTGGGGACGTTCCCTGGTGGTGGGATATTTGTTTGTCAGGAGGAACGGCGAAAGCAGCAGTCCAAAATTCAGCATCTTAGTAGTTTAGTTAAACACACAAGAATATATATATATGTGTTTGTATATATATATATATATACACACACACACACGAAGCAACATTGGGGATGTAGACCAAATGGGAAACTATTAAGTGGAAGCTGGCAGAGTGTCAGAGCAGCTCTTTAACACCAGCAGTACTGCTGCCAAGCTTTAATACGATCTGTTAGTGAAGAGGGTCCTGGGACCGCAGAGTGCTCAGGGCATTTGGACTTAGATAAAACCGTTAGGCCTGTCTTTCAAGCCAGAGCCAGACTGAGTAATGGCCAGTTCAGCGCACTGGTGACAGGCCCGTGCTGCATTGTATGTCTTATAAATAAGCAGCTCCCCTGGACCTCTCTGGCAGCGGGTCCCATGCTGTTGTCTGAGCAGGTGGATCTGTACAAATCACACTTTCTTTCTAACTTCACTTTAACTTATTTTCAACTAGAGACACATTTGGGTCTGTAGCAGCACTGCTCAGATGCATTTTTTCTTTTTCTGCTTGTGCAGACTTTGACCCCACAGGCCGCAAAAGCAAGTGCATTTGTGTCGAAACAAAAGAAAAACTATGGTTCATTGGAAATGAGGTGCTGTTTTTTTGTAGCTCTGACTATTGGTTATATTGATTTTAATGCCACTGTGCTCATCAGAGTAGGTTCTTACATGTTGGAATGCCATCATATTGCTTTAAATAAACCCAACTGGGCAACAAACGAGAACTGTCAGATCACAACACCAAACCGAAAGCAATCACAGCTGTAACAGGTGTTTCGTGTGCACACACACCCCAGCATGGGTAGACAAGTAATTTCAAGATGGTTCTGGAAAATTTTGATGGTTACTTTTCACAACTCCAGCTCTGATAGGCATATAGTGTAACTCTTGTGCATACACAAGTCAAGTAGAACATAGTTCACTCCCATGCATGGTCACAAATCTTTCCGTAGCCTGTGATTTGTGCGGTAATGGCAGAATAGTGACTGTAACCATTAGAGACCAGGCAGGGTTGGGTCACCTTCACGGGCTGAGAGCCGGGTTATTGTTGTCCTCCATCAGCCGAAGAACCCCCTTCGTATCTCTGTCTCTGCTACCCATTATTTCTGGCGATCTGGGTGACCTGTGGCTGTTGTGTCATTTTCACACCACAGGGCTAATTGCCCCAAATGACTGTACATTTTGAGGGAATAGATGCAATAGGCAGTCTGTGCTGACCACCTGGTGTCAACCATTAGCTGCTATTTAGTTTATTGCTGCAAAAATCCCCCAGGATTTGATGTATAGACATATTTACAGTGAGCCTGTGGTGATGTAACTGAGCAATAATTTCCCTGGTGTTTCTCTAACAGGGCTATGATGTGTTTCTTTACCACTTTCCTCCTGGTAGCATGTAGCAAAGACAGCTTACAAATAGCTAAAAGTGTCATATTTTCTTCTGTTTTGCCATTAGTAACACATTCTGCTCTTTCCTCTCTGTAGCTGGCTGTACCTTTGATGAGGACTCAGACCCCGGCTTGTGTGAATACCGACAGGGCCAGGAGGATGACTTTGACTGGCAGCTAATCAGGACCTACAGTTGGCTACACCCGACCCCAGATCTTTTACGAGGTAGGCTTCAGTGCCACACCTGAGGCCAGGCCCACACCACCTTGGAGGTGTGATAAAGCAGCATCCGATCCAGCTTTAGACTGAGTGCTGAAATCCTTGATGGACTGGAAAAATGAAGCTGTAGTCTGTGTATAATGCACACCTGCTGCTCTCCCCACACCAATCGTGGGCTCTGCTCATGTTGGACAGCTCTCATGTGTGAAAAGTAACATGTGTTAATGAACATCTGTTCCAAACTGATTATTCCATGTACTCTGAATAACATTTAGAGCGCTGGCTTTTAAAGGAGCAGCTTGCAGAGGAAGACATAAAAGGAATGATATAAAAGAAACACAAGACAATATAAAAGACATAAATAGGATTTAAAAGTATGATATAAAATGAACGATAAAAAAACTGAAGAAAAAATGTCAGTGTAGCTACAATGCAGTGCAAGGCATGACTGTAAATGTGATTTAAAAAAACAGCAGCAAACAGAAGTCTTATATGTGGTGCATATAAAATGAACACTGCTTCTCTATGTTTGGTTTAGACTCTGAGGACAGAAAGCAGATCCATCTCAGACCACTTGACAGGTCTGGACGGTTTGTACGGTATCAGCAGCTTGGAAATGTGTCTTATCCCTAAAACCCTAGTCAGCGTGTTTATAAACCAGCTGTAGTATTTTAAAGCCAACAAATAGGTCCAATCACAGTGGTTCTTTTCATCCCTTTTAATAGCAGCAATCTCCCAGCTAGAGTTATTACAATATTTTCTTAAAAAGATATCATTGACTTTTGTAGTAAAGATGAAAAAAATTGTAAATACCATTATTATCAAAATCTGCCAGAAACGTGATGTATTTTTTCCTGCTTCACCCCTCACCTCCCGCCTTTCCAACACTGGAATAGTGAGGTGACCCAATGTTTGCAGTGTTGCATCTGTTTTAATGATTTTCACATCTCTGGCTTTTCTACGCCAGGGGGATTTTCACCTGGGCTCCAAGTGCGGTAGTTATTAACACATTTAACTTTAAATGTTGTCAGATGACACCTCATACAAACACAGCCTCAGGAAAATGACACTTTTGCCATTTGACCATGCTCAACGAGCCCTTAAACATTTGGGTCATTACAGTATTTGAGGAGTACAGTAGCTGCTAATGGGACAAGAAATGTCACCAAGGGAGATGAAGTAAGTAGAGAAACCCTCAAGATATCAGATGGTCTGATGGCCAGACAGTAAAATCACAATGTTAGTTCTGCAGTCACATTCCTGAAGCAGGTATTTGGGAATAAATACTTTGTAAAACAAACATGGGCTAGAGATGCACCAAGTGTCTGGGGATATTTACCATCTAGTCTAGAGGCAGAGTTATAAGCAATGCTGTTCTTGGTACAAAAACAACACAATAACCCACCAGTCTCCAATAAAACAGGCTTGCTGCAGCTTTTATGTCCTGTGCTGGTTTTCATTCGGTTCATTATGGGAGCTCTGTGAATGTTCCGAATAAAATAATGACACATTTAATGAAAACAAATTTACTGCAAACTGACTGAGACTGTTTGTGCAGCATTCTTTCAATTACCAGAGGGGACCTTCAAGTCCAACCCAAAGTCTAAACTCTTTTCACAGAAATCCAGGCAGTATAATTGTATGGCTTTGAATGAGGGTCCAAAGAAAAGGAGCTACTTTATTATCAGCGCCAGTGCTGTGAAATTTGCTTTCAAAAGTTAGATGGTTTTGACAAAGGAGCAGATTTGGATCCACCTCCCCCTCCGCTAGCATAACAATGCATAAAATGTGTCTCAAGAGATGCATTTTGCCTCCCGAGTCCCGGTTTATAACTAGCAGGTGGTCCGTCAGTACAGGAATGAATTTCCCTTCACTATATTCCCTCTGAATGTAGGCCAAACAATCCAGCTATTCCCTGAAAGGATCATCCAAGATACACTTTGGTACAAAGAATAAAGAGGTCCACAGAATGCTGTATTACTGAGAGGACAGGTTCTTTCTGACTGTCGGTCAGTCTAGACTTTAACCTGGAGAACACAGTTTTTGCCAGTTGGACCCAACATTTAGCAGCTTGTGCTTGTGGCCTTGTTGAGTGAACATGCAACAGTCAGATCAGCTGTTAAAGCTGCAGTTATCAGTATTTTTACATTAACAGTGGATGAAATTAAAAATCTCAAATTCAGAAGTTCTCTCTTATAGTTGTGAACACACAGAATTAGCACCAAACTCTGCAGCTCCCCTCAGTTCTGTCAAGGCAGTTATCTCGTTTTACACTAGTTCACAGTTCTGGTTGAGGAAGCAGCCAGAGAACACGGTGGAATATTTACCAACCACACAGTCAGACATTTTTTCCTGAGTGAATATTGAACTTACAGCTGTAGCTCAATAAATTAGAATATGGAAAAGTCCATTTATTTCGGTAATTCAACTCAAATAGTGAAACTCATGTATTATATAAATTCAGTACACACAGACTGAAGTAGTTTAAGCCATGGGGTCTTTTAATTGTGATGATTTGGGCCCACGTTCAACAAAAACCCACCAAATCACTATCTCAATAAATTAGAATACCTCATAAGACCTATAAAAAACACTTTTAGTGAATTGTTGGCCTTCTGGAAAGTATGTTCATTTACTGTATATGTACTCAATACTTGGTAGGGGCTCCTTTTGCTTTAATTACTGCCTCAATCCGGCGTGGCATGGAGGTGATCAGTCTGTGGCACTGCTGAGGTGGTATGGAAGCCCAGGTTTCTTTGACAGTGGCCTTCAGCTCATCTGCATTATTT